GCAAAAGGCCCCACCAGCCACGTGATGGGCGTGTTCTGGGCCACGTACTCCACCATCTCGTCGAGGGCCTCACGGGCCTTTGAGACGCGCTCTCGGCTCTGGGTCAGGACGGTGCTGGACAGGTCCTGGAAAGAGTGGATGCCGGAGAAGCTGGCCTGGAGGTCCTCGGCCTGGCGGCGGGCATGCTGGGCCTTGTCTTTGACGCTGGCGGGCAGACCTTGGAGGTTGGACACCAGCGTGGTGCAGGTGGTCTGCAGCTGTTGGGCAGTGTCCCGAAACATGGTGAGGGCCTGGGACTCGACCTGCTGGGGAAAGGAGGGGAGGTGGGGGGGTGGGGCGTCAGGACAAGCGGGCAGGGACACTGAGGCCAGGAGGACCCCGGCCTTCTGATCGTGGGACTATCGACAGTCACTCAAAACCCAAACTCTGCCACCGAGTCCACTCCAAGTTTGCGAGACAGTCACTCTCTACGGGAGTAGAAAGCCTGCTCTTCCTCCCAGGGAGTGGCGGGTGGTTCTGAACTGCTGACCTTGCAGGTAAGCAGCCCAATGTGTAATGGCTGCGCCCCCACCCAGGGACCAGAGGGCACCAGGGCTGTGGAACGCAGAGCTGTGGGCATACCCAACGTGTGGCCCAGGGTCACGCCTTACTTGGGTCCACCATCAATGCTGGCGGGAGCATCCATCCGGAGAGCACTGGGCACACCTGCAGCTCACGGCCTCTTTGGAGTGTGGAAGGGCGAAGACCGCCCTTCGAGGTCTGGACGCACCTGAGTCAACCCTGGCCTTTTCCCATCTCCTCGCCTGCACGGCACAGAGCCGGACAGAGCCGCGTGGGTGCATCTGCACGCTGGTGCCGGGGAAGAGTGGTCAGAGGGGCCAGCAGGTCTGGCTCAGGGGAAGGGCGGCCAGGGCACTGAGCTTACAAGCGAGGACGGCGAGACTTCACGTCACGCACTTCGGACATGCTGTTGGCAGTGACCAGTCCCTGAAGGAGGATGTCACGCCTGGTAAAGTGGAGGGGCCGCGAGAGTGAGACGCTCTGCAAGATGGACGGACACCATGGCGGCACCCACGGGCTCAAACACAAGAACGAACGGCGGCACTGGGCGGGGCAGGGTCGGTTCTCTTGTGTGTGAGCGTGCCGGGCGTTGGGCCGACACAGCTGACCACCACAACCTGGCCTGTGAGCGAAGCGGCCATCGAGCTGTTGTTATCCGAGAAGCAGAGAGAGCCAAGGAGGAGGGAGGGAGGGAGAAAGCAGGAAGTGTGTGTGGGGGGGGCTCTTGCCACATCAACCTGCACCTGTGGGGAAGTGTAGGGCTGGAGTCCAGGCTGTCTCGCGGGCCACGGACTGATCGAGGATGCCTCCCGGGAGGGGTGGCCCACGGTCGGCGCCCTGCTGTGTTCCCACCGACCGTGGGTCCACAGGACCCTGCACCCACCGGCCTGCGACCTCCCTGCTTCTCGCTTCCCCCTTTCTGCCTCATCGGCCTGCAGAGGTTCAGCTAGTGTAGGACCCACGGACGTGAGTTACACTGAACTGGAGGCCTTCTCAATACACAAGTACGTCTTGCTATCAAGCTCTTGGCTAAATGCACGAGGAGTGTCCCTGGTTATGTGCCTCTGGTCGACCCGGCCTAACACAGAAGGAAAATAAAAAGGAGAAACAAATCAACCGCTCACTGCCCAGGAGTCGATGCCGACGCAGAGACGCCAAAGGACGGGGCAGGGCGCCCCTGTGGTTTCCCAGACCGAGCCTCTTTACCGGAGTAGAAAGCGCCTCCTCTTTCTCCCGAGGGAGGGAGGAGGGAGGGAAAGACAGAAGGAACATTTGCACAGAGAAGGGCAGGCAGAGCTTTCTGGGCAGAGGCAGCACGTGGTTGGGCAAAGGGCGCAGTTTCCTTTGCCATCCGGACAATGACCTTGGAGATGAGAGAGAGGCAGGACTTCGGCCGGCCGGGCCCGCCAGCTAACAGCTTTGGACTTGAGCCTGTGGGTGGCAGGAAGGTGCCGGCCCAGTGAACCCAGGCCACCTCTGTTGGTCTGACAGGTTCTTCCAGCGGCTGTGTTCAGCTGGGTGGTGGGGGTGGGGCACCAGAGATGACGTCACGTGGCCCAGGTGGGCACACTCGACGGCTTTGCCCTGGTGAGGACCTGGTCCCACCTTTCCAAACACCACAGCCTTTGCTGCTCCTTGCTCCACCACTCGCCCCGATCTGTTCAGTCCATCTCTGAGACGCGGGGCTTTGGCCCACGCATGTACCGTGCCATCTGCTCCCCTCTCCAGCGTTCAAAGCACAGGTGTGACTGAAAGGGCTGCGGGTCACCTGACCTGGGCCGCGGCGGTTCCCATGCCCTCAGCCGTATGCGAAAGCTGAGCGGTGAGTCAGGCAGGCGGCAGGAGAGCGGGTGCATTAGAATCATGACCTTGGCACAGCACAGCAAGTCACGTGGATAGACAGACAGCCTGAGAGGCAGACTGCGTCTCTCGAACTTTAAACACGGGTGCCAGGAGAGGCTGGTCCCTGGAGAGGGACGTCATGCTCGGGAACGTAGCGAGTCAGTGAAAAAGAGGGGCCCCCGTGAGATGGATGGGCACAGGGCGGTTCTCGGGGGACTAAGGAACGGCCACCGCTGTGGGGGCTCAGGATGGGCCGCGTGTCCTCCTGTTGGAACCCGCTCGATGGCGGCCAGCATGAGAGCACCACACTCTGTCGGTCTGTCTGTCTGCTGGTGGACACTGGACTTGTCCCATTTCTTTGGTTTCTGTGAATGCTGCTGCTAAGGTGTACTTGGGGGCACACGTTTAACTCGTCAATCTTAACGATCGCGGAGACGCAGAAATAAGGGCCAGAGAGGTCTAGCCGAGCAGTTGCAGGGCGAGCCCAGACCCCCGATGCAGGGAGACGCAGAGGAAGGCTACCTGGAGGGAGGAGGGGTGGGGACAGGTGTTGGAGCAGATCTTGCTTGGGAGGCTGGTCCTCAGGGCAGAGCAGGAGGGGCCAGTCAGACTGGTCGGAGGGGTCCCAGACCCACCGTGGGAGACAGGACACCATCTTTGGAAAGAGAAGGGCTGGAGCCGCAAGAGGAAGGAAACGTGGCTTGGAATCCAGCAGGTCTGAGACACACAACTTTCCCTCCGGGAGGCGAGGCGGCATGTTGTCCTCAGAGGACTGCCCTGGGATCATCTTGAAACCTCGAGCCAAAAGCATCACCCGGAGTCGGCTTCCAACCACACCAGAGTCCAGCCTCCGTGCTAAAGGCCGATCGTCAACACAGCGCTCTTTAAGCTCTCCTGACGGGACTCAGGGCGTGTAGGGGTTACGTGCTGGGCTACTAATCCAAGGTCAGCAGTTTGACACCACCAGCCGCACCTTGAGAGAGAGATGGGACTTTCTACTCCCGTAAAGAGTGACTGTCTCTGAGGGGAAAGGGGGAACCCATCACAAGACTGGATCTATAGGCCCCCCTCCCGGAAGGGGATGAACAGCAGAAGTGTAGGTAAACAGACAATGGACCGTGTAAGATACAAAAGAACAATAATATACCATCCATCAAGGATTCACAGGGCAGGAGGGGAAAAGAGAGGAGCTTATACCAAGGGCTCAAGTAGAAAATGTTTTGGAAATGCTGATGGCAAACCTTTGTACAAATATGCTTGACACCTCTGATGTATGGAATGTTATGAGAGCTGTTAAGAGCCCCCAATAAAATGACTTAAAAAAAAATTACAGCAGCAGTTCTCAACCTGTGGGTTGAGACCCCTTTGGGGGTCACCAGACCCTTTCACAGGGGTCGCCCGATTCATAGCAGTAGCAAAATGACAGCGATGAAGTAGCAATAAAAATAATGTTATGGTTGGGGGGTCTGTACTAAAGGGTGGCGGCATGTGGACGGTCGAGAACCACTGACTGAGTCTTGGAAACCCACAGGGGCAGTTCTACCCCAGTCTACGGGGTAGGCAGTGACTTGATGGCAGTGAGTTTTGTTTTTTTTAATAAGGGGCTCAACAGCTGTATCTGCCAGTTTGTCCTACTGTGGTGGCTCGTGTGTGGCTGTGATGCTGGAAGCTCCATCACCGGTGTTTCGAACACCAGCAGGGTCTCCCAGAGTGGTTTCAGGAGCACCAGAGCAGGAGAAGGAAGAGGCTGTGGAAACGTGTGGTGCTGGAAGGGGAGCCCCTTGGCAGATACGACTACGTGGAAGCGCTGCCCCCTCCACGCAGAACAACCGGCCCCCGGGTGGAGCAGGGCCTTCGAGACCCGCGTCTGCGGAGGATGGAGCACAGCTCGAAATGGGAAGGAACAGCTGGGGGTGCACAGAGCACCAGTCTAGGAACGCTGGACGCCGCCACAGAGCAAACGGGACGCAAAGAGCGATGGCTAGCTGACACGGACGGGCACTGACTGATGGGAGCCAGACGACCACACGGCTTGCTCTGCTGGGGACGGCACAGCCCAGAGGGATGGCTGCCCCTCCCCGGTTACCTCTGGCTTGGCCACATCCTGCTCAGTCGCCTTGGCGTCCTGCTGGGTCCCGGTCTGCTTGGCGTCCTGCTCGGCCCCCTGGGGCTGCTTCTGGCTCCAGCTCAGCCACATCTGGTGCAGCTTCTCCTGACCCTCCACCAGCTTCTGGTCCATCCCTTGCTTGACCGTTTCCATCTGGAACAGGAGAGAGGACCACAACGGGGTCCCATCGGCACCTCCCCCAGAGCCTGCAGAGACACCCCTCTCCCCGCCCCCACCAAGCCCTGGCGGGGAGGTGGGACTCTGGGAGGAGGCCAGAAGCAGAGGCCTCTGTCCCCTGGCAGATGAGATGCCCGGGTGCCCAGTGTGACAGAGATGGTTTGAGATCGATGGCTCGGATCGCACCCACCCAGAGGCCCCACGGAAGAAAGGCCTGGCCATCG